AGTCTGAAAAGCTTCCCACATAACTTCCACCAGTTTTTTGTCTTTGTTGGGGTTTCACATGCTTCTTTCTGTGCTGACAAAAAAAAAAAAAAAAAAAAAGATTTTAATGAGATTTTGTTTATTTTAGAAATGTCATTTTCTTGATTGTTAGGCTTAGCTTTTTTTTTTTGCCTTTCCTGTCAGCTCTGATCATTAAGTTTCTCGCACACCATGAGCAGTACTGCCCTTCCACAAGACCCTTGTAGAAGAGTGGCTGAAAGAACGATTTGTGTTTATACTTTGGGCATATTTTCTTCACTGTATTGTATCATTTGAAGGTTTTGTTAATCTCTTTGGGACTTTCAGTACAAAATCCCTGAACTGTAGAAAGCCACGAGAGCTTTAATCAAACCAAGATTTATGAATAAAGGAGACAGAACACTGGAGAAATGGACTATGCAACAGGTCTAAACTGAAATGTTGCTTAACCATCGGTCTCCATGTCATTAAAAGAAAGTAAACTACCTTACAAATCCTCTGACTGAATTTGCCTGTCTCCCCTCTGACAGCCTCTGGCAACTACAAATCTGGGAGAGTTTCTGGTGTCAGATGTCTTCTTTTGAGGATGCTTTTGCTGTGTATTTACAGTTATCTCTGCTCTTCCTTCTCATCCATGGAAGTGTGGACAAGTGCTACCATGGGAGCGATAGCCCCTATGTTAGCCCTGCCTGCTGCTCGGCACTTGTGCAGGACAGCCACAGAGATACACAGCCTTCAGCTGTAGCCCACCCAGTGTCCTTGGGTTGGAAACACAGATATCTGAAATGGTACTACAGGCATCACTGCTGCCCAGAGTAGTTCTTACTGGCAGGTATTGAACTATATAATTATCTTCCACATAGCTTTAAGTTCTTTGGCAAGTGTTAAACAAATGTCGCTGCTCATCCTTTTTTGGTGTCTTATTTTTGAACACGCGGATCACAGCTCAAGTCTGTCTACCCTTTCTCCTAAATTATTGACCATGACTTTACATAGTAAATTGCACTGGCTACAAATGTTTGCTTAAACATAATTCATGACAAAGTTTAAAGAGACAGAGCTTACATATCATTTTCTCAGTCAGTAAACAACTGATGTTAATTTTGGCATTTCTGTTTCTGAGTGCTTAGTTTTGAGAAGATAGTGTCCCTTTCAATAATTACAGTCTATTTAAATCATTTTCTTATTAAAAAAAACACACACAAAAAAAAAAAAGAAAAAAAAAAAAACTTGCGCTGAAAATGAAATTACATCCTGCAAAATCCTCCTGATCCTCTCTTTCTCTGGAAGACTCCCACTAGTGAGTTTACAAGCATTGGAGACTAGCTGAACAGCCTCCCCCACATCACATCTAAGTTTCACCAGCCGGTGCAGGTGGATGATAGGCACCTTTGCCATTTCCCACACAGGAAGGAGGATGCAGCTGGGATGAAGGATGGGATGGCACTGTTGGGTTGGTGACAAGACTGAGGACGAAACAGAGCATACAGTGTGAAAATCAGCATTCTGCTGTGTTTAGGTCAACCAAAGAATTATCACAAAGTTTCAGAGACCTTGTTGTTTTGGTTCTAGATCTTCTTAAAGAAATGCTTGGGGAAGCATGAGCGGAATTTTTTTAACATTATTCTAATTAATAGTGTTAATGAACAAAAAAAAAATCAGTCCTTAAGAAGATGCTTGGAGTGGGCATTTTATTGAAGATTAAGTTTAGCAAAAGTATAAATGGCTGAAAACAGGCGCTTCCAGTAGAATTTCTTAGCATCTGGTTGACAAGCTGTAGGTCCTAGGTTAAGTCATTTAGAGGTATCTTCAGAGTCATGCTTTTCCTTTCTTGGTGTTATAGCTTTTCTTATTCTTGCTGATTTCATTGTGTTGTTTCATCTTCATAAGCACTCCTAAATGGTTTGTGTCACCTCATCCTTAACCATTTCTTAGGCTTATTTGATGTTTTAACGGAATTCTCTGCCTTCCAAGAAGACAGAGAAGATAACCAGCTAAATATATGTAGCACATAACAGGTTGGTTTTACTGATACTTGGAGAATTGTCCTGTAAATCTCAGTCAAAAATGGTTGTAGTTTTACTTAAAACTAATAAGACTGGATCATTGCCTTATTTAATGGCTTTACTAGAGCATGGTTTTCTCCTGCTTTTCCTATATTGTAAGGTCATTAATGAATCGTTATCTGTTGCTAGTAATTACTGATCTCTTGAGAATATTGGTTTAATTATATAGGAATCACAAGTGGAAGATGCAGTAACATATTCTACAATGTATGTAGTATCTTGGTGTATTATGGCTTTAAAGAATCTGTATTCCTTCTTTTTTGTAGATTTTAATTGCTAAGTGTGCCTAGTAAAATATGAATTACTGTATTACTGCATGTGATAAAAGGTATACTATTGTGAGCCTTGCAGTCTGCAGGTGTAACAGATGTAAGGCAAGATTAACAGGACAGAACAATAATTAAACCACAGCCAGCCATCTCAAAAAGAAAGAAAGAAGAAAAAAGGTGTATCATTTCCAACGCAGTTATTGAATGTCTTAAATTCTCTGCAAATATTTATAAAAGCAATAAAAACATGTTAGTTTGAGAGACAGCTTTCCAGCATGGACACCTACTTTAAGGAATTAAGATCTCTTTTTATGAATATAAAAGCTGAGTGAAGTCCTGCCATATGGCAGCAAGGCGATAGGGTCCTCGGTTTATAGATGCTATGAGCTAAATGCTGCTGAAGAAAGTAAGAGAGCGGTTAGTAGATAGGCATTTACAACAGCATGAATTGCTGACTCCCTCTAAGACAGAAGGTTCAAATAATTAATGGTAATATTATAGCTGCAAAAGGAAGTCCAGTTGTTCTTCAGCAGTCTACATCTGTGAAACATAAAACCTCTGGGGACTGAGATTTAATGTTCACAAGAGAAAATATAAAAGCAGGGGAAAAGAAGGAATGACTTCTGCTTGAACAGAATAAACCTGCATCTACAAACGATTAACACTACATAATGAAGTAGTAAAGGAGCAAAAGAGATTTCTAATAAAAGACTAATAACAAATCCCATTACACCATGGTGTGTGTTTTCCCTTGAAGTGTGTTAGACTTTTAGCAAGGCTTCTGAATGAGATTTGGGTAGTTGCAAGCAAAGTCAGCTCAAATGCTTCAAGCTTAACTGAAATTTCTTGCCTAACAGTTTGTGTAACTTGAAAGTTGCAGTTTTACAGGTGGGAGGGGTTGTTAATGCAAGTAATAGGCTTCACACAGAGTTTGGGTAATGTTTGTGTCACCATGGGATAATAGTCTCCCGTAGGCTAGGCACTGTGGGGTAATGTGCAACTATATGGTAAAATCCCTTAGATAGAACAGACATGGTGTAAAATGCACTAGCTAAGCCTTGCTTTTGTGTTAACGGTTCTTCTGATTTCTCTTTCTGAGGCCTGAAAATAAGTCCTCATATGAAAGGGGGTTGATCAGAGAGGAGAATAGAGTTTGTGTTCTGTCATTGCTAATATTGCACCATTTTTAATTACAATGTCTTTCAAAATCATGTATTTTCACTTTTAAAAGAGAACATGTCTTGCAAGGGAAAAAAAATGCATAGTAATCTGCACATGGATGTTTTTGCAGTTTACACGTATGGTTCCAGTGGAAGGGGGAATAAAAGTTTAGTGAACAAAACCTTGACTCACAATACAGGCCGTTTGAATTTCTTTTATGACAGTCTTCTTTGTACAGATTGTTGCTATCTTAAAAGCTTGTGCACAACTGACTTCTTGGAATTCATTTGTCTAAAAATGAACTTTTATTGCTGGAGTCAGGAGAAAAAAAAACCCAGATGCCTTGAGCCAACAATGAGTTCTGGGACAAAAGTGGTTAAACGTGAATTCTTAGAAGTGAAACTAATCTTGATGAAATTTCTAGTTGCCTTTTTAGAAAGTCTTCTGAGTTTTAAAGAATGACTTAATTTGCTTAGCAGAAATTTGCAATCAATCTTTTCTTGCCACTGAATAAACAGAGTCCACGTGCGTAGTAATTTGCATATCCCAGCTAAAAATGTAATTCATTATTTTTAAGTCCATTTCATAATAACTATTTCAGGATTAATGTTACTAACTATTCCTTATCTCTTTCAAATGTGACCTTAGATAATCCTGCCTAAAAAGGTACAAAGCTAGCAGGTGTGTTCTGGAATAGGAAAGTTTATTTCCCGAGTTCACCAAGTAAGTCAGTGTAAGAGCTGGAACTGGAAATAAGAAATCTTGAGAAATAATTTTCTTCTACTCTCTCAAGGTTTGAGACTCAAGTAAATATTGCATTTAATAAGACAGATTTTCATATTTTGCTATGTATGAAAACACCACAGATATGAACAGGTATGAACTGTATAGTCTACATTCAGATTACCACTAAATCTGGTAAAGATTTAAATTAGGTTTAATCAAAGTAGCATCCATAGTATGTTTTACATGGAGCTGCAAACATTGTCATCAATAACAGAGAGGAAGCCTTTTGAAAGTGAGTGTGACCCAGTCCATCTTAGTTGATGGTTGGCATCTGCCACTGAACGGCCTTTCTCTTGACTGGGCTTTTCAGGGCTTCTCATAAACCACTGGCTTAACCTTCCTGGTTTTGCTGTTCCAGGTTAATTCTTGCGTTAACATTTTCTCCCTTGTGTCTTTGATCGCATCACATTAAATAGATAAAATAGAGTATATAGGACTGATCTGTTTTGTCCTTTGAGGTTTACCACATAACAATATTAGTCAAGTAAGCTTCTACCGTCTGTAATGTATCAATAGACACAGTAACATTTCTACAAATACAGTTAGTTAAGCAGTTATCACAGATCTTTGCATTTGCAAAATTTTCTGGTAGAATGTCTCAGATTGTATCCTGGGATATGTATCCTGACTTTACCATACTTGGCAAGACAGAGAAGTACAAATCACCTCTTTTCCTGTTGTTTGGTTTTGTTTTTTTCAGGCGATGGGTAAGGCTCCTGTTTGGACGTGAATTCCCCCTTCAGGACCTTCTGGTTGTCTGGGATGCTCTATTTGCCGACAGTATCACCCTGAATTTAGTTGACTACATTTTTGTAGCCATGTTGTTATATATTAGAGATGCTTGTAAGTATCAGAAGTCTTTCGATCGTTTAAAAAAATGCAAACCTATTTTTCAAAGAAAAAGAGGATTTAAGAAATGCTGCATTTCATTGTGACTTTTTTAACATATTGAAAATCATTCCAAATGCTAGGAGAGGAGCTGCTTATTATCAGATGCGGTCTGCTGTATTTATGAAACAAATTGTATCTTGGAGTTAAATGCAGGTTTGTTTTCTGAGTAGTTCTGTGTTTTATAGAGTTGCAGATTTTATGTGCAGCGATACAGGTATGTATAGAGCTCCACCTTCTGACCAAACCGATGAATTGAGTTAAGGCTGCCTTTGACGCTGGAAATCCTTGTATCCAGTTCTGCTGTGGCAAATGTGAAAATGCACAACACAATGAGTTATAATTTTCGAAGGCATATCTCAAAGTAAATGTAAATGCAGAGATAAGTAAGAATTACAAAATATGTTTATTATGTACAGAAGTGGCATCTTTAAAAAGTTATCATTTCATCTTATTTTAGTACACCTAAAATACGTGCAAAGGGGAATTCTTATCAGTTAGTGATGACCAGTAAATATGTTCATATGGGACAAACAAGAAATCACAAAAAATTTGAAAAACCTCATATAATTGTGAATGGGAGAAGGAAGATCTGCAGTGATTGAGACATTTACTTCTGTTGCACCGTATTTTTCATGAAATTCTGTATACAACTTTGCTGAAACAAAGAGTGCATTTTGCAGCAAGATGTATGTCTGTCATTAAATACATGCATTCCGTAGCATGTTGTTCAGAGTTAAATATATGCAATCATAAGCTTTAGGTTATAACAGGGTCACATATTTGACACAATTTTGTATTCTAGAACACATGAAGTTTTCAACATCTGTGGTTCCTATTTTAGGGCCCAATCTTGAAAATATAACATGGATATACTTTACACGTACTGTCGTTCCACTGCCTGCCTTCATGTGTTTTTTTAATTACTTCTAAATAAACATGCAGCATATAGAACTACCTTACATCTCTCTCAAAGAAGTGGGCATTTAATTCAGTTTAGAGGTTTCAAAATTAATGCTGCTGTTTCAGGATGATCTAATTCCAGGTCATTATGTTATGGAATTGAAATCTGGCTTGTTTATGTGCAGTAACGTGAAATAATTTTAATATTTTTGGAATATATATGTAGTGCACATGCATGTAAAAATGTTTCTTAGCATCTGTGTTTTATTTTGTGTCATCATTTCCCTTTCAAAAAAATCCCAAACTTTAGAACTGTGTAAGCACCCTCTATCTTTCTGGGAGGGAATGTTGTTCTGGGTTTCTTTTCTTTTGCTTTGTAGTGCTCATGTAGAAGTATCAGTATAAGGTAACTGAAAATGTGAGCTGAAAATGTGAGCTAAAAATGTGTTCTAGGCATCTGGGCATCTGTATGAAATCAGTCTCTTTTCTCTGAAATCCCCAGGCTTAGTAAATAGAGTAGTAAATAGCTTTAAAGTGGAGTACATTTGCCCAAATGAGATGCAAAGACATCTCATCAGAACAGCTAATACTTATACTATACTGTAATTGTAATACATAATATGTTTCTGTAATAAGTAACTTTTTGTTCTATAGTTGGACTTAGTTAGTTACCCTAAGCATAATAGAATGGTGAAACAAAATACCCAGTCATAAATACTGTAAAGTTGAATACATTTTCAAAGTCAAACTCAAACTATAATGACTCCCACAGTTCTTGGTTTGATACAAGAAAGCTTTTCTTGTATATGTGAAATAGAATAGTTTTCAATTTTTCCTCATTATTTCATCGATGATATATGAGCTTTAAATGGAGTTCAAAGTTCTGGGACAATATTTTTTAAAACATTTTCTAATAAATTGAGTTTCTAAAGGCTTCTCTTTATTTGGTGAAAGGAAATGTTAGCTCAAAACATGCAATGATGTTAAATAAATCGTCTGGAAATTTCAGTTTAAAAACTTCAAAACGTTAGGAATAATGACAGAGCTCCTAACATACCATGTTCTAAAAATGTCAAATATAAGCACGGATAATAATACAGTACTGAAAGTATTTGGAAGTTTAAATTTAAATTTTTCAGATTCTTTTATACCAACATATTTGAGGGTGGGGGAGAAGTTGCTGGTTTAGGAATTGATGGATTTTTTTTCCGTATTCTATTATTATGTTCTAAAGGACATGATTTTTTAAAGGTATTATTTCTGCTATATTTTTCTTTTTATTTTTATTTTAGTTTTGAAATCATCTGTTACTCAGATAATATATTATTTGAAGGGAAGGGAGCATTTAGATGATTGATTATTATTTATACATTTTAGACATTACAGATACATAATCATGTATTCTGTAATCTATTCTGTAAACTGTTCTGATCAGTTTTACATCTGTATCCAAGCACAGCTTTATTCATGGAGTGATAATCCTGAAAAGCCAAGTGTGGGGTTGTGTACCAAAGTATCTGTGAGTTTTAATAAATTATCTTATGGGTTTCTTTGGGGAAAAAAATCATGTAAAATATCCTTTTTTAATATTTCAAATCAGAAGCATGAATGTGTTAGTTCTTCTTCACCAATATGGATGTATATGCAGTTGCTGATGTAAATAGAATGGAGGAGAGGGTGCAGTGCAAAAATACATGTAATTTATATACTTCCCTTTCCTTCAAGAACAAAAATGAAAAAACCTGTAAGACCTGTGAAACTAATGTCACTATTGCCCCAGGAGCTAATTTTGACTGAACAGTGTTCAAATAAGTATATTTTTATTGTGTTCCCACTTGAAGAATAGCTGTGTTCACAATAGAAGTTGGATCCAGATGTGACTCTTACCAAGCCAATTAGTGAAGGAAAAGCACAGGTACAGAAGCACCAAGTTTATTACAAGGCAGCTGGCCCAAGTGTAAGATATTTCACCATTGAATTTCACCACCATACAGCTACTGCTGAGAGTGAACAAATTTCTACTGCACAGAATCTCCTTCCAGAAACTTTTTTTCCTCTGGTTGATTCTTTATCCTTTTAAATCAGATAGACATATTCAGAGAAGGTGTCTTTGTTTTGGTTTACTGCTATTTTCTTTATAATTTTTAAGAAAACTGCCACTCTGTTGGATTATATTATACACTTTGTTCTGAAGATACAAGAATCATGGAATTGTTTGGGTTGGAAGTCCAGTCTAGTCCAATCCCATGCCATGAGCAGCGGCATTTCACTGCATCATTTGAAGATGGCTCAAAGCCCCTTACAACCTGACCTTGAACACTTTGAGGGGTGCAATATCCACAGCTTCTCCAGACAACCTCTTCCAGTGGCTCACCACCCTCACCTTAAAGAATTTTTCCTTATGTCCAGTCCAAATCTCCCTCTTTTCATTTAAAACCATTACCCCTTGTCTCATCATAACAGGGTCTACTAAAATGTTTCTCCCCATCTTTCTTATAAGCCCCCTCTAAGTACTGAAAGGCCACAATAAGGGCTCCTTGGAGCCTTTTCTTCTCCCTGCTGAACAACCCCAACTCTCTCAGCCGTTCCTCACAGGAGAGGTGCTTCATCCCTCTGACCATTTTCGTAGCCTCTGGATTTACTCCAGCAGGTCCATGTCCTTCTTGTACAGGAGGCCCCAGAGCTGAACACAAGACTGAAGGTGGGGTCTCATGAGAGCAGAGAAGAGGGTCAGAATCACCTCCCTGGATGTGCTAGCTATTCTCCTTTTGATGCAGCCCAGGATATTGTTGACTTTGTGGGCTGCAGCACACGCTGCCAGTTCATGGGCAGCATACAGATCATTCTGAAACAAAGGGTACCAAGAGGTGTTTCAGCAAAGAGATCCCCTTAACCCAATATTCCCCAGCAAATAGCGCACTGGCAATGATGTTCTGTTCTGTAGATTTTTATGGGAAAAGGGGACAGCTGAATATGTGAGGAAAACCCTAAATATAAAATAAATGTAAAATTCAGCAGACGTTCTTCAGTGAAGGTTTTTTAACTTCCTTTGGATAGTAGTTTCATTTTTAAGTTTAACTTTTAGGGATTAGAGGGGGCAAAGGTCATTGTCCAACAATTTGATTCCCCCCTCCTCCATTATTTAATTGCTTCACTATTATACATTTCAAAATATTAATAATTAGGGTAAATGTCTTGTGGGTGAAAATACATTTCTTTTGTCAGTAGTCAAGTCTGCACCACTAAAGTAAATTAGCTTTTTTAATATTTACTTTTCTCTATATCTGTGAGACAGTAAAGAGCTCTTCAGGAAAAATAAGGAATAATTTTAATCCATTTTACATTGCAGAATAAAACACATATTGATCTGTTTGAAGTAGAAATGTGTTCATCTCTACTACTTATCAGTTATAAAAGTATTTAGAATTTAGTATCAATTTTCAGTGTTTTTATTTCTTTGGTCAAAAGTCATCATGGCCAGAACTGCAGTATAGTATCTTAAATTTGATTTACGTATGAGAATTTGATTGGGTATGTACGATGTGGTGCTAGTATTATACTCCTCTGAAAGAACTCTGATGGAGACCATTGTATTGTGTTCATTATGCCAGCTTGTGACTTCAAGAAGAAAAAACACGTACCTGGATATGAACAAGAAAAACAAAGGGTAGGGAAAAGAACAGGCAGAACAGATAAAGAATGAGTAGGATAAGTGAGTGCTTTACAAATGAAAGCAGATGTATGAAATTACAAGCTGTCGGATCAGCAACGGAAATGAAGATGATAAAGTGGTTCCCTACACAGATTATAATTATTCATTTTGCCCAGTCCTGCATCTTTTCCCCATAATCCTCTTGTTGAGGGAAAAAAGGTACAGGAGGATATGAGGCTTATTCGCATGAAAGAAAAAAAGTAAAACGTTTAAATCTTTCTGTCCACAAAACAGTCCTTTATATTATCTTTTATTGATTCAAAATAATTTTGTATTTGGAGTGATCCTTTCTGGTGGAGAGGCCTGATGAATTGAAAGTGTTTGCTACTACAGCTGAAGTTATCAGAATAGTAAAGGTTGTTCAAAATTTATTTACAATTGCTATTGTCAGAGGCTGCCTTTACGTTGCAGAGTGCAAGCATCATTAGCAGGCATTGCTTTGACAGCTGTGGCAGATGGATTGCCTGGATTTAGATGGTGCAAAAGAAATGAAGTAGCTTACATAGACCTGCCTGAAAAGATTTCTTTAATAATTGCACTCATAATTAGATTGATTTGGAGGGGAAAAAAAAAAAAAAGAAGAAGAAAGAAAAAGAAGACAATGACAAGCAAAGAATCATAGAGTGTACTACATAGATTCAGATAAAATCAAATAGAACTACAACTAAATTATAAACTTTAGTGAAACATGCTGAAAATTTCCTGAAAGAGAAAAAAATCAAATGTACGTAATGTAAGCTAATGGTATATTACATTTTTAAATATTTATGAAATGAAAATCTAGCCTTTTTTCTGAACATTTCATGTATAGTTTCTGATTTATAAGCAAGGAGTTCATGAGTTCGTTTTACATATGTGTATATACATCTGTGTGGGCAGGTATACATATATGTACATAAGAACAACATAAAAGATACTGTGGCAAAGAATTGTCAGTGAGGGAAAGTTACTGTAAAAGCAAGACCAAAGGTAATATTTATCTCACAGATTATTATACTTAAATATCTGTCTGCAGATGAGTGTCTGAAAAGTCAATGTCCATTTCAGACTGTAGAACTGGTTCTTCAGGCTTCACTGACTGTATTGCCCTGACCTCTGCTGACTCAGGCAGGCTTTGGGTGCACAGCTACAGAGATCTAAATTTAGGCATCTAAATCTAGAGCTAACATAAATGTCTATGACATAAAGTCAGTGGTAGCTTTAGCATTGCCTTTAATGATACTGGACAAAGGGTAGTCATGAAGCTTGACTATGCAATGTATGAGCACTTATATATTGAGCATTCTTTGAGTTCTAAGAGACTTAATGTGGAAAAAGACAGCTGAATCTGAATTATAATGAATCAACTGGAAAAGGTATTGATTTGGAACATCAGAATAAGATAGTAATTTTCACTAATATGTCACTTTTCACCTTTTCTCTCTCTCTGTCTTCATTTGCACTGTAGTGATTTCAAGTAATTATCAGACCTGTTTGGGACTTCTGATGCATTATCCACCTATTGGAGATGTTCACTCCCTTATCCTAAGAGCACTTTTTCTCCGAGATCCAAAGGTGAGATGCTCGCTTTGTAAATACAGCAAATAAATCTCTGTAATAAAATGTTTTAAATACTATGAAGTTAGCAACAACCTGCATTTTGGGGACTGTGTTGTATTTTCAAGTTTCTTCTTACCTGACCAGAAGACCAAGAGTAACTAAGAGTAGAAACAAGTTCCTTTCCTCTTCAAAGAATTCTATTCTACTGCTTTGGTAAAGTTATCCAGGAGCTCTCATAACTGCATATTTTTACATTCTTTAGAATAATTTTGCTTCGTATTCTGCACAGACACCAAGTATACTTTTGAGGGAAACAGGTTTTATATAGTAATCTTGTAAGCTATAAAAGAAATTGTTACGCAGTTTCATCTGTAAGACCTTTTTCATGGGGATTTCTGCAGATTAATCACTGTTAATTCTTGAAGCACTACCTCTGCCCAGTATATAATAGTTATGTGATGGTTTTCAGTTAAAAATAAGAGACTGCTTTTGCAGCCTTAAAAGATCCATATGGATAAAATGTATACATTCATAAATTTTATGTTACATATTACTAGCATGCAGTCTCTGATACACTCATCTGGACTAAAAGAAAGCAGACCTCTGTATTTCAGAATGGCATGTGCATATGTGTGGTTATAATATACAGCAGATATCCACCATACAGTGGATAAAGTGTTGGAGATGAAACTATATACCTTTATCTTTGCAGTACTGAGATCTTTGGCAGATAGCAGAATTTGTGCTGCTGGTTTTGAACTGTCTTTGTGCGTGTCCCATTAGTAGGCTGCCAGTGTAAAGTCTGATTTCCCTCATCTTGATGCACGTCACTTTTGTAAGTGAAAAATTCATCAGTTCTGCCCTCTGACTGCCTTCTGCAAAATTTCATTCAGTACCGATGTTTACACTTTTATGGATTAAGGAAGAAATTGTCTCTGTTTCTGTATCAGTTTTTTGCAGAAATCTGCATCCTTACAGCTGCTTTCTTCATTCCTCTTGGTACAAAGGTTTCTTTCATGATGAGAAGTAAAATATATCATCTTTTCAGTATGTAAGAAAGTTTGTAATGTTAGATCTCAGGAATCTTTCTTAAGATTTCAGCATCAGCCTGTGAAATCAGACTGCCCAGCGTTTGTTTATGCACTGTCTTAGCAAATCAAGATAGAAGTGTTTTTTTAGAGGGAAGATGCAGGGGGAGGAAAATTGTGCTAAGGTATCAAACTAGATCCAGTATGTAATCTGTCATTTATTTAAAGTATATGTTAAGAGATAGAATAATTAATCATTATTCAGCTGTCCTCCACAGCATCCTAGGCGGTATACAAGATACCCTACCAGCTAAAGGGGCAAAAATGAGCCACTGACTTCCTGCAAAAGAAGCTTAATTACTATTCTGCTCCTTATGCTCATGTCTTCAACAGAATAAAGTTGCCAGGTTCATTAAGGCCTCCATGTCCAATTAATTAGCACTCTTAGGTGTACCTTAAACACTTTTTGGAATATAGTGGATGTAGTTCCTACCATGTCTTTCAGGTAGTGAATAACTACTTAAAGCTCTTTCATACCAAGACTTCTAGTTGGTTTGTCAATTTAAATATAATTAATTACAGTTTTTCCTCATTTCTGAGGAGTAGCTATCTGCTTGAAAAATAATCTGAATGTTAGGAAGCTGGAATTTCCAGAGAATGAAGAATCCTATGGGACTTCCAGCCACCTCTCATTTTATGTTGTACCTTTGGGTTGAGACTGCATAAACAGATCTGGACTTCTTACAGTATAAGAAAGTTAAACTGTTCTAAAGGATCCCTCTAAAATCAAAAAATAGAAATAGCTCCTGATCTGAGAAAGAAATGTGTTTTCAATGCTATGACTTGAGTACCTGTTTCTTGTCTTTCCATAGGTATGATTTTAAGTTTCACTTGTTTGTCTTTAAGCATATGTTCTTCAATCCAAAGTATTACTGAAATGGAAGTCTCATTATTCTGTGAGACCTACACATAAAAATTTTCCAAGTCTACCAAAAATTTTTACTGCATGTAATGAAAGGATGTGAGTCTTTACTCAACAAGACATTATGGGTGCTGTAGTACTCTAAAATCAGTAGACAGATTATATACCAGCATACATGGGAAAATTCTGATACCTGTTTTTTTTCTGCATATCTGCATAAAGATAATTCAGTTTGCCTTTATTCCCTGAGGAGATAAAAGGAGATTGGAAGAAAAGACAAGGAGATTTTAGTCAGTAGTGTAACTTGTAAGTGATGATTAACAAATTCATTGCCTAATGATTTTTCTTCCCCTTTTGATGTTTTCCTGTGCATTGCTCCAACACCAACTTCTAGTTTCTAATGGAAAATTCCATTTGGTTCAATCTCATGACCCAGGGCTGAGTTGTTCTGCATGGCATTTCTTGCAAGATTTCCCTTGGGGTTTGATATATGAATATGTGGAAGTCTTCTATGGGAGGCTGTTGCATGGTCCAGTGTCTTTATTTCATTGTTTGTTGAACATAACAAGAATGTTTAGTATTGGTCTAAATATCTGGGAGGGACTTGCTCTCTGACCCTTGGAGCAACTTTCCAGCCACTGTTCCCCAAGCATGTAGTTTTGCATGGAGTTGTTGTTGCTCAAATGCAGGACCCGGCACTTTGCTTTGTTGAACCTTATACCACTGGCCACAGCCCAAAGACATGGACAAACAGGAATCTGCCTCTCGCAGGTTTGTTAATATATATTGTCTTTGGAGTTAATTGTGCAGCTAGATAAATCCCAAATAATCTCACTGAGGGGAACTTGTGGGGTATTTGGACTAAGAAAGGTTGGCGATATGCACATAAAACTGAAAAGTTCTTGAGGAACAATCCTGTCATAAATAGTGAAGTAGTTAAAATGAACCTGATACAGCCTTTCAACCTGTAACTTCCAATTCTAGAGATAATCTGTGTTTGCTTGTCTAATAACATCCATTATTTCTTCTGTTTTCTTGGTCTGACATAACAGGTATCTTCTTACCATTCTGATTTGGCTTGTAGACTATCAGGAGAGTTAAACTTTGCCTTGATTAACCTGTCACATTTTGTTTGCTTCTTTTCACTGCAGTCATCATCAGGAGAGCAACCTAAATGCCAAATGAAAGCTATACTTAAAAGATGGTGGCTATTTTTTTTTATTATTTCTTTTTCAAAAGATGGACAATTTAGTGACCTTTTGTGGAATCAAACACAGGAGAAGCCTTAGCATTGTCCAGTAATAACAGTAATATGAAAAATAATTAGTGCTTGACATTTATCTGATGCATGGAGCAGCTCTGCTTTTCACTTTGTGAACCTCAGCTGGCAGTTGGCATGATAGGATGTTTTAGATACCACATCTTTGATATATTCCAGCACTACAGAAGAGAAATAAGTATCTACCTAATAGCTGAAAACAAGTTAATGCACCTGTACCTGAAGGGGGGCCTGGGAGGTACTAATTTTACAGCCATGAGAATGGATCAATACAGAATAATTGAATATCAGCCTTTTATGCATTTGGCTAACTCCAGTTCTTAGGATAACGTGGAATGAAAAGCTCAAACCAGTGTTGTTGTCTTTGCATAGAATGATAAAGCTAACCTGCTTAGCAGAGTATTTGTTTCACATTTCTAATCTTTGAACAGATAATTACCTCAATTATTTATATGAAAGTTAACTTCTATGCACTTACAGTCCTTCATAGAACTTCCTGTGGAAGAACACATACTTTATTGAAAGTATGCATGTGTGAAATGACAAAATAAGGGAAGGGTTTTTTTGTGTATATCCTTTGTGTCTACCCAAAAGCCTTTACTGAAGGTGTGTCTCTGTGGATTTAATATCCCTTGAGTAGCCAATTTACTTCATTTTTTTCTCCTTATCAAAACCATTGAGCACTGTTAATTTTCAAAACAAAGGCTACAAAATTAAGAAGTACAGATACAGAGATAGGGCAGTGGAAAAATATAAAGTGATTTAAAAACATAGTTCTAACTAGAGTTGTTCAAATAAAAAAAAAAATTAAAAAACCCAATTAGAAACAAAAGTCATAGAAAATGTGAACATATTGTGTTCCTTAAATAACCAGATGTTCTTTCCTTCCTGAAGGCAGCCAGGGCTAGGAATAAAAGGCTTAAAACTATTGTTTTAAGTTAACTGTGAATTTTGCAAATCTGTTTTCACCCTTTAGCAAATAAAATTCTAATACAGCAACATAAGCAATGTAATTTTCATCGTTGGGTGTTCTTATTTGTATGTTGTTCCGTGTCGAAGTATTAACCTTATCATAGTGACTTATTAGAAAACTAAAGCACTGCGTAAAGCATTACAGTTTCACATTGCCTACTAAGAACCTGACAACCATCTTTTGTCTGAAAGCTTACTGTATTTATTCCCAATATGTTTGTAAAATAAGTTTGCTTTCAGATACTTTAATGTCATGAGTTACCCTATTCATTGAGCAAGCTATTTAGAAGACAGCTTTTCATAAGCCATTGATTCAAAAAAAGAAAAAAGTTGTTGTGCTTGGTTGATGGGAATTAATTTGTTATCCTAATAATATTCTAGTTACTGCTGCTGATATTTTTTCAACGTTGTATTTTAAGCTATTTGCTGACATTGAGAGAGGCCGTATAATAATATTAAATTCTAACTAAATCCTTGATGAAGCCTACATGACATTTCACAGAAGTTGTATTAGTTTGTCATGAATGAAATTACAGGCACTGCCAGAAAACTTAAGCAATAATATCTGGTCATGATTACTCATATAACGATTAGTTGGAGAAATCTGTATTCCAGCTTTTAACACTTTTCACAATCTGAGCAATGAGTGACAGGGGGAAAACACATTACTGAAATTTTGAACTGAACTCTTTGTACGTGTATTTTCAGCTGAATTTTCTTCTTAAGTAGCTGCCACCATCTCAGAGTTTTCTCCAAGCTAGTTTCATGTGCCTGAAAGGCTGTTGAGTTTCACTTTCTTCTTCTTCAGATAAAT